GACTAAAGGTCAGTTTTATATTATTGGATACTGTATCACAAGTGCATGTGCACTACATCATTGTAACTTTGTACTGTTAGCCAGGCATGGCTGGAAGGTCAATATAATAAAAATAATGTAAAATGTTATATGATTTAAGCTATTTAGACTAAACATTTGTGTTTTCATGTTACAATCTGTTGTCATTCCAGAAAGAAAAAAAAGCATAATTTAAATTTATTTAAACATCTATAATAAAAATACTTCATTAAAAATCTGATTTTTTGTGTACGAAAGACTTGTAATCTTTACTAAAAGTCTACCAAATTTTGTGAAGATAGACTTACTGCATTAAAAGTTATAATATAAATACTTAACTTGTGTATATTATAGGGTTAAGATATAATTGACATTTATATTATTGCTATTTTAATAGCATGTTTGGTTTTTCACAAAAATAATAATAAAAAATGCTATTATCCTAAAACTCTCTTGGATATATGATTAGTTTTGGCTGTAGGCTAAGATACAGTTTTAATAGTTTGTGTGTAATATTGTAACCATCTGCATAACCAAAAACTTAAGTTGACAAGTTTGCTATAAATCATCTTTAAAAAGCTCTGTTATTAGCATTTATTGTGTATTTGTTTTATACTATACGTAATTGTTACTAAGTACTTGAGTTAACACTGTATCTTGTTTTAAAGTTGAAACTCTAGTCATATTAGAACAAACATTTTCTAATTAATAAACAAAGATAGTTACTACCTTGAAAGCAATCGCAAGAATAACTGTTGGGTTATAAAGTTGAGTTGGTTGAAGATTAATTTACAATATAGAAATAAGTATTCCAGTGTTAAATAAAATTATTCATATCTTGAATTCAATAATTAACAAAAACACATTTATCAGAATTAATATCCGACATTAGTATAACAATTTGCAGGTTTGACCAAAAACCACAGTAACAGTTTTATACTAAAGCATTATTTATGTATTAAAACTATAACTTTTTATTGACATGGACATTTTCCAACAGTCATAGAACAGCAACCTTAAGCTTTACCAAAAACAATATGACAAAGTATAAAAAATGAAGTTTACCTTTTGTTGTTAATTACAATATTACGTATCTAAAAGATAAGGAAAATCAAACCTGTAAAGATTTCTTCTGATCTTCTACTTGGGTTTTCAAACTTCCCACCTTGTAAGGAAAAAACATTGAATTAAAATAAGCCAAGAAAAATTAAACACATATAGAGATGATAGTCTTTATACATTCAAATATGTGTACCTGTGTATTTTATAATATTGAACAATAGCAGACCTTTACATATCTAGGAAATTCAGAAAATTTGATCAGAAGAAAGATGTATTATTACTTACCTATATCAATTTTTTAGTATATACATCAAACACTAAAGAATATACATAAGAAAAATACCAAGCACAAATATGTGATATGCAAGCATTTAACTGGTATGTTCCAAAAAACATTAGTAAAAGCAACTCTATTTTATAAACTCTGATTCAATAGTTTTCTAAGGGAACAGTAGTTATATATAGTATAGTGACCACAGTCCACACATCCAAAAGAATAACCGTGGTATATTCCAATAATCCATTAGAGAAAGCAAAGGAGAATGTGTTATAAAACATCAACTGAACAACTTGTGCTACATCCAGTGCTGAAAAGGCCTTTTGCCCGATGCCATGGATCATTAAGCTAGAATAGGACAGACATAGTAGTGGTGTAAATGCTAAATATATATATAATCAATTTTTTGAACAAAAACTGTTAGTGTGAACCAAATTAAGCAAGTGAATTATAATTATTATCAACATTTTATTTAAGTCATTTACAAATCAGATGTTTTAGGTAAGAATTAATAACACAACATTATCTATTTTCACACTGTTCATTTTATTCATTATTATTTTATAATTTGAATTAACTTTACTATCATTCACAAGAACTGTCAAACCAGCAAGTTAGTTTTCTTGTTCCTGGAGCAGGTTATGCAACCACAGCATTAATGGAAGAAAACTATATTGGCAATTCTAAAAAATCCATGATGAAAGGCAAATATGTTATAATATGTCAACTATAGTATGGTAGTTAGTTTGGAAGATATGGGTTTCATTCCTTCTGTATATATATAAATATTACAATATGATTACTGTATTAGTTGCATCAAAAAAGTAAATTTTTCTTAAAAACCTGAAAGCTGATTTTTAACAGAATTCAGTTAAAAATGAAAGTAGATGTCAAAAATATACAGCTCAATGACTGATTACATGTCTCTTATGTATCACACCTTGAGTAACCTTGAGAGTTTTACTTCTAAACTTCATCTACAATGAAGCATTTATCTAACAAAAACAAGAACCTTCATACAAGTCTATCTTGCTGGTTCACCAGTTCTGAATAGTGAGCTGGTTAATTCAAGAAAATAATAATCAACAATATATATAGTGTTAAAATATATGTATATAGTTAAAAACTCCTTACCTTAATTCTGATGTATGGTAACTCAATTAAATATGATAAAACACTACACTTCAATGTAATACAGTTCACACTGACAGTTCTTCTTCAAGCAATTTAATAATATAAGTAGCATCTCAAATTTTTCTGTACAAGACTGAAGTGTCTTGGTATTGGACAAAAGGCCTTACTGGTACTGGATGTAGCAGATATGGTGTGGCTGATATATTACTGCACATAAGTGCTTTAAAAGCCCGACAATGTACACCTGTGTTCATAATGTTTTTTAGAATTTTAAGTTTGCAAGCAAAAGCTAAGAAAATTCCCCTGTTTCTACTGTGTTTAGTATATCAGTCACAGTACCTGCCTTTACCCATAAATAATGTATAACCATGGTTTTATATATGTAAATTTTTTAAACACTATTTTTCATACTTTTTTTACATTGCATGTTTTTACTGTAACAAACTCAATATATTTGATTATTGAAAGTAGTGAAGCTTAAATCTGATCAACTTCACAATATTAAACTTCTACTTTAATATAGTGGAATATGTTTTTTAAATACGAAGTGTAAAATTAATTCTCATAAAAGTTATTTGATGTTACCTACTTTAAAACAAACAAAAAACAAGGTTGCATATTTTTGAATTTCAGTTTTGAGTATATTGCTGGTTACCAGCATAGCTTGTACACAGTTGTAATGTCTTTTTACATGGAAACATTCTTTGCCATAATGAATAATTAAACATTCCATATGTGACAACAATGGGACTATAGAATTAAAGAAGAGTTAAACAAAACAAAAAAGATAACCTTTGTCAATACTAAGTAATTAAACTTTTACAAAGCTGATAAGTGCTGATGGATGAGATAAATGATACATACATATCTCACTGTTGAAACAATGACTCATATCTTTTGTTACAGAGAAGCATCGAATAAAACATATTGATTGCTTTGTACTATTCCTTTTTATAAATTTTGACTTTAACTCCTTATGCAAAACACAAACTTTATGTTTGTTTCCTTCTTTACAGGCAATATTGACTTGCCCCATGCAGTGGAAAAATACAATTCAGTGAGAAGTTATATACAAACATATGTATATAAACACATAGATGATTTGTATGGTTTAATCTGTCCAGAAAATAAATTAAACCACTAAATCCTTTTAGTATGTTCACATGACACCTATTAAAATATCAAAGAAGTCTAAACCACATTTCCCCTACCATACTCATTTTATAATTTTACTTGTAACATCATATCTTTAAAATAACACACAACTCTTTGAATGCATAAACAAAAACAATATATACAACAATAAAAAATACTAACACAGCAATGAATAAACACATTCAATGGAGTTTGAGAGATCAAAACCTAAAGCCAGAAAACATAAAATAACTGATAATGCATGCAAACACATTAAAATCATGAAACTATTACATATGATGCAAAGTAGTCACATAAAAGAAAATTAAAAGAAAAAAACTTATTTTCTAATCTTAATAATTCAACTACAGGTACCTGTTCAGCTTCATCTTCTACTTGCTGCTTCAGGTTTGATAAACTATTCTCTACAGATGTTTTCTAATAGAATTGAGAGCATGCAAAATAGTAACTTAAAAATGAACACAAAAAAAATAAGCACTGTATTAACTGAAATAAAAATATATATAAATAAGGATAACAAGGTCCTCCTGGCCCAAAGACACAATAACTCACATTTTAATTATAATATAAATTATTGTGTCTTTGAGTCTAAAGGTGATACTCATCATTATTCAATACTTGACAATCAATGGGGGTGAAGCAGTGGTGGGGGATATGCCCATTTAGCAATGTTGAGATGAATTTCTATCCCTAAATAAAATTAAATGCAGTCTTTATACAGTTTCAATGTTCTTCTATACATGCCACTTTTGTATATGAATAGTATCAAGATTAGCGAATTTACATGTGATTTAAAAATAACTGTGGAACATATAATAAATACCTCTACTTCATGCTCATGATTTCTTAAAATATATCAAAGCATGTAGAATAATATAAAACTCAAAGAAGTTTAATAAAACCAAACACTAACTACTCTAATGACAACTTTAGTTTTATAATAATCATTTTGTATTTGAAAGATAAAAAATAAATATACAGACCTAATATTATTATTCTAATTTGATAAAAAAAAGAAGAAAAAAAAAGGCACAGAAAAAAAGTTTTCACTTATAATTTAGTCATAATTGAGTACAAACAATTATTATTTGTAAACATATTACTTACCTGACTATCTAGTTGATCCAACCGTTTTTGAGCCTCTCTTTTTTGAACTTCTAGTTGTTTCAACATTGTGAAAAGAGCCTCTGCTTCATTTTGAAGGGTTTTTAATTCTCCACTACGGATTTTCATGTCAGCTTCTTTTTGTGCTATATCTTGTTCTAACTGTATTTTCTCTCTTTAAAACAACAAAAGAGCCATATGTTAGCATGTATTTCAATTTCCTAGCAGACTATTACTAATTTCAACTATCTAGCACATAATGAGATAAAATATGTTGGATGTAAACTCAATCACATGAGAACTACATTACTAGTCAGTGCATGATTCCCAAGACTACTTCTCTGTAAGTAATACAACTGTAAAAAAATTTTAAATAAAAAAAAGTAAGTAGGAATGAGAGCACCAAAAAGTAAGGAAACAAGGTAGGAATGGGCAGGATAACATTACAACACTTAGTGGTTTTTGACATAGTGCAATCTCAAAGTGAGTGTGGCCATCGTTCTGCCCATTCCTACTTTAGAGATTACACAAATTAAATTTGACATTTTTTAAATGAAGAAAATTATTTTTAATGTTAACATGAAAATCACTTTGCATGTGTTTAGTTTATTAAAAATACTTCACTAAAGAATATGAGTTTTCGTATGTGAAAGAAAATGTTTACTGAAAGTCTGCCAAATTTTGTGAAGTGATATATATACCACATTAAAAGTTAATAGTATCAAACTATAAAGGCTTGATAGGAGTACAAAGAGGTCACATGATCAGTCAATTTGACTGAGCCCGTGTTGAGAGTTAAAAATATGCAAGAAATAGTCCATCTCAACAAAATGTTGTTGCAGAAATGTAAAATAAAATAAAACTCATGGAAAGTTTTAGAGTAAATAAATATGTACCAACATTTCAGAATTTCACAAAAAAGATGATAAAGAACTTAAATTAGAAATATTAGTTTCAAATATTAAATAACCACATTGTAAGCTTACTTTTACAAGTCTCAATATTTTACAGCCAAACTTGTAATTATAAAATTAACTTAAAAGCTAACATTCTTTTAATTTTTTTTTTATAAAATGATCTTGATAATAATTATATAATGATACAACTTCTAAATTTTTTCTAGAAGAAAATTTATAAAAATAGATTAAATATTTATTAAATATTGAATATAGAAGTTCAATGGTGCACTCAGAATAACACTACATAACATTGGTTGTGAAGGGGTTAAAAATAACAATCTTACTATAATGGATGTAGCATGTATGTCAGTATCTATGCATGGAACCCAAATTCCTGCACCATCTATGGAATAGCACCACAAACAAAATCCATAACAAATTTCACACTTTCAGTATTGAAGATTCAGACAATTAGAAAAATAATTGTGGTATGTGCAACAACCATTTATTTATAATAGAACACACTTTTAAATAAAAGTAATGTCCTCACAACAAGAATATAACTTTCACTAGAACTATAGGTGAGGGTTTGATGTAATGTTTATTGATGTGATTTTTAAATGTAGTGCTAGAGTTCTTAAAAAAATCATCTTTTCAATAAATGGAACCACTTTTAATACATAAAAACATTACAGTTTATGTGATCAATATTTAAGAAAATTTTGAGCTCTGTACATTGAATAATTTTGATCCATTGAGTTGCGTATAACTAAATAGCACAATCTGAACACTTTTCCCCATGCAGTACTTCCCAGTAAAACATCCTTTTTTAAAAATGTTTTCCCTTTTTCTAAATTTTTTTCAATTAGGTATGATACTGTGATTACTAATTACTAGCACAAACAGCTGTCTATAAGGTAGTGTTTCTGCTAGTTCATGTAACTACACAAAATATCTTTCTAATTATGGGAAATATTTTTCTTAATGTGTTAAGTTACTTTTTTGACAAATGTGCAATCATATACCAATTACTATTCAAGGCATAGCATTATAAGTGGTTTAACATTAAGAAGAAATTGTTGACCTATTTAACATTTTAATTGTCAAATTATATAGATAATCAACACTTTAAAATGTCCTAGCTGAATATATCCAAATCATGTATATTGTAATAATAACCTTATCTTTGAACATACAAAATAGTGCTTTAAAAATAAAGTTGAGCCAATTTTTTAAAAGTTACTAAAGGAGCATGCCTACTTCTGCAAATCTTTGACTTCCAAATTCATTATGTCCAGTTCTTTATTGCCAACAGTCAGCAGATCATCCACAACAGGGGTAACTCCTTCCTGAAAAATAAATATGATTTAGCATTTTGTGAATAAGTAACAAAACGACCATTGTTTCCTCAAAATAATAATACAGTATTAATGTAAACTGCATAGAATCTTCTAAATTATGCTAAATCTTTGCTCTTTAAGAAAATGGATTGGTGGTTATGTTTTAGTTTAATCTCCTGATTAATCATCATAACTGTCAAGGTTTTGCTACCACAAGTTTTCTGAAATGCTATCAGCATTGACTAAAACCCAAGGTTATGACATATGGAAAAGTTAACTTCACTGAAAATAAACAAACATGTTACAGCAAAAAATAAGTATTAACTCTTTCCATATGAACATCCTTTTCTGCAAATGTCACAAGGTTTTACCAAGTTACATTATACTACTTTCTTATCATGGTATATGAATAGACTTCCCATAAAAACAGAGCTAATAATCCAAATATTAATATTATAAAAGTTCTTAATTTTATAAGGCAATATTAAAAAAAAAAAGAAATCCCGAATTTTCTCTAGTATGAGAATTGACATTTGCTCTCTAGGTATTCCTTTTTCTGTAATTTATTTACCACACCTCTGAAATGTAAGAAATTTAGCATAAATTACTCATTATAATGTTGTTATTGCTTAATCAAAGCATAATTTTATAGCCTTTAATCTTAATTGGTTACATAGCTATAAAATAAAAAATCAGATCCCTCTTGCCACGCCCACCAATAACATCCTCTCTTTCAGAAATTGCCAATACACGTAGTTCTCTTTCTTTGACATTTAATACTATGTTATCTATCAGTGTTGTAGTTAAGACCTCATTGTCCAAGACCAAGACCTTGTAATAAATTCCACAATTAAAAATAAAGCAAGAAGAATAAAAATCACGTGCATGAAACAACCTTTATTAATATCTTAACCAAAAACCTTTTACACATTAACCCCACAATCTTTGTTTTAATGTCTTCTCCTATGGAGAAAAAAAAAAGTGAATAAAAATCAAAAAGGTCAGCAAATAAAACTAACCAGTATTGGTGTCAGTATATTCTTTATGCTCTCTAAAGTCAAACAGGAACACAACAGATCTACTAGACATGTTTAATATCATGGATAATTGCTAATGTTTCATGTAAATACGTGCTCCAGATGAAGTTCATACAAATTTATATTAAGCCTGTGCAACTAGTTTTGAAGAGTGTGTGTGTGTGTTATATTCGTGGATTTGTATACAGGCAATGTGGCAGTTGGTGACAACATAAACAAAAATAAAAGAGGTGTTATAAACATCATTGAAAAGGTGTAGAACCAAGGGGGTTTTAAAACATATTTGATGATACACTGTGCCTCATATGAACTGCTGCATAATCAATATTTAGAGCTTAATAATCTTGGGTTACTGACTGATCTAATATTGTTAAAAATTTGAAATTTAGCTGGTCTAATTTTTGAAACCTGTTAAACGCTGATACTGAGACTGGTCTTGAGACCTATAACACTATTATCTAAAACTAACAGAAAGTCAAAGTTTTAATGTATCCAATGATGTGTTATATTACATTGTTACCTATACAGAGAATTATCTATTTTGCTTCCAGTTCCAATTTTATTCCCATGAGAAACACATCAATGAGCTTAGCTGAATTTTTAACAGCTCTTGTCACACGTTAAGAAAGCCAAAAAAATTGTTGCAGGTATAAAACATTGTCTGCTTTTTGCATGTTATTATTCTGCATTCTTTAGTGCATCATTTAATTAAATACAAATTATTTACTGCAGTAGTACCATTAATATAAAAGAGTAAAGTTTCATTGACAGTTGATGACACACACACACAAAAAAAAAGAAAGTAAGAAGAAGAAACCCAGGTAAGTACTTTATTGTTATGAAAAATTAAAAACTTTTTAGGTTAGACTAGGTAATACAAAGAATAATAAAAATTTTCAAGAGGCACACTCGTGAGCAACTCGCAAGTAGCCCCTGCCTTATATAATTTGATAAAGCAATGTGAGCTACACATTTGCCAAGTGTGGCGAGACAGTTAGTTAAATACGGTTCAAAAGGTAATAAAACAATAAAATTTAAGTAGAAAACAATGTATACTGTTATGAGTTTAAAGCCATTTATGAAAAACAAATGTAGTTTCATGTTACAATTTGAATTCATTCTAGAAAAAAAAGAAAAAAGTAATTTAGATTTATTTCGAAATTTCTTTTTCGGTGGTTATGAGGTCAGTCAATTTGACTGACCTTATATAGAGTTAAGGTACAGAAAATAACAGATAAAATATAAAGTTTTACTGAAAAATAAAAACATTTAAAATATATATTTGGTTTTTTTAGAGATTATGCAAATGAAATTTAAGATTTTTCAGATGAATAAATGTATTTTTTAATCTTAACATAAAAATCACTTTGCACTCGGAGCATCAACCCTTTGACTCCATATATTCATGGTGAAATTTTAAATGAAAAAACATTATTAAAATTATGATTTTTTGTCCACAAATGACTCTTAATAATTACTAAAAGCTTGTGAAATTCTGTGAAGATACATAAAACATATTATAGGCTATAGTATGGAAACTATAAATGTCAATTTGGAGTCACAAACTTAGCCTAGCCTGTAACAATAGATTTAAAGATTGTATTAATTCTCAAATATTCAAGTTATATTTATATAAAAAATGACCATGATCCACACTAACTAACCTGTAAACTGAATGACTCACTGCTAGGTTTTGGCCTTAATGTTGGAGGTATCATCTCTGGAGGAAGTACAGGAGGTATGTCACCACCATGAAGTTTCAAGTTAATCAAGTACATTGCCAGGGCAAACTGTTCAGAATTCAATTTTCCATTCTCTTTCATATCACATAAACCCCTGCAAAGAATGCAAAATTAAATTCTTTGTATTTTGTAGCTGATATTATTAAATTACAAAACATTAGCAACACTACCATATTTTCTCATATGAAACATAAGTAACAAACAGCATGACTATTAAACATGAAATATATCACATAAGAATTTAAATTAACAATTACTTCACAATCTAAATTATTTCATAATATACTACACATATATCTTAGTTTACCAGAAACATTCAATACTTTTTTAAAATAAAATTTATAAAACTGCTACAAATAAGTCTTAAAATACAAAAACGTTTTTATTCAACCAGAGAAGAATTTTCTATAACTGTAGAGTAGGTCCCAAAGTAGAGCACCAAGTTAGCTCATACTATCTCAATATTCAAAAAACAATACCTATTAAGTTTTAAACATAGTAGTTTTACTATTGATACATATCTATATAAATAATATGCTTGTGTTTGTCTGTCCGGAACTTTTCTCGTAAATTTCTCAATCAAATGCTACAAATATCATATCATTAGAAAGACCTTTGTCTGACGAGTTCAGATTGCACCTTGGCTTGACAATATTGTAATGATTAATTTATACTGAATTTCATACTTCTTGGAGGGTTGGTGAATAAATTAGAGAAGAGGGATGCCTAGAGAGAAAATCTCACACTAGGCAAAATTCAGGATATTTTAATATTGCTTTATAAAATCAAGAACTTAAAAACTTCTATACTATCAAAATATGGATTATTAGTTATTTCTTTAAGCTAAATTTATTTCCATATCATGACAAGAAAGTAGTTTATTTAAATTTTGAATGTAACTCCCTAAAACCTTGTGATATGTGCAAAAAAAAGATGCATGTAGTAAGAGGGTTAAATAGTGTAGCTCAAATAATAGAATAAAGAAAAGTATAGCTCAAAAAAGAAAACTCAAGCAAGGGAATGAAAACTACTGCAAATATTTTGCTGGTCAAGGCTAATGTGTGTGTGTATATATACATACATGCATATAAAACAAATCTGACACATAATTATCTTATTTAATGAAAAACTGTTCAATTTTAAAATGGTTTGTTATTTAAAACTTATAGAATTTCATTACTTACTGACTGCTTTAATTTCATTATTAAACAAAAATTACCTTAATAGTATCAGTCGTAGTTCTTATTGTAATAAGAAACAAGATCTAATTTTATTAAAATTGCTTTTTATATACAAATAACTGTGACTAACAATATAATGTTTTAGGAGATAATGTCTGATTATTTTACCTTGTACTACTTTAGCTTGCATGTTAATCTAATATCCACTGGTTAATTTATAACAATTTTGATACCACATCTGTAGCATCACTGCTTTATATATTTTCTTTCTCAAAAACTACTCATTTATATGTCATTAAAATAACACTTCAATAAAACAATACAATTACAGAAATCAAGAAGTACAGTTAAGTAAGTTATGACAAAAAAGGGAAGGAAATAACAATATGTAAAAGTAAAAAAAATAATGATGTATAGAAAACTTGTACTGATATTAGCTTAATTTTATATATTTGTATATATAGGTATAAAAACTATAATTCAAGGTGGTTCCACTTCAAGATCAACATGTATAAAAAACACTAAAATCCTTTCTTTTTTACCAAACTCTTCTTTATTTAACCAGTTTCATAATATCACAGGCTACTCTTCAGTATAAGAACTATACAATTCAGAAACTAAACACTTTTGTGAAAAGCAATTAAGCTATATTTAAAATCTATATAAAATATCCAAATTTTGTTTTCCTGTTTAATTCTTTAAATATAATATTTTTCAAACATTTTTAAGAAACTCAGGTCACAAAATAAATTATCTTATGACTAATGTTTTAGACCATAACTTAATTAAAAGACTTTAACATCATATCTTAAATGAATAACCCATATATATGTACATGTATTAAACTAAGCTAATTTCAGAACCAGTTATCTTAAAATGTATAATGTTTGAATGATAGATTTACATGTTTGAAAAATCAATTTAAACTCTCTGCTGGTATATAAGCAGCAAAGTAAAAATTTATCAGTAATAATACTTTTACACATGTTTACACACTACCAATATTGTCATGGTTATAGCCTACTTGTTCATGTAAGTCAAATTACTGAACATAACAACCTCTGATATCCAATCACAACTTTAAACATAGTAGTTTTGTTTATCTTTGAAAAAAATAGAATCTTTTCAAGCCAAAAAACATAACAGCCACGTTAAAAAAATATTACACAGAATTGTATGTTAAATACTTAAAACTAATATTTGTAAGTTAAATTTCCATCACTTTTAAAGTAACCAGATATTCTACATAATGTAACACACCAGATATATGCTAAAACACTCTGAGAAAGACCAGACTGGATAAATATGTCTTTGACATCTGGTCCTGTCACAAAACCATCCTGGTCTTGGTCCATTTTTCGAAAAATGTCATCATACTTTGCTTTTTCTGTGGCATTCACTATCCATGGTACTGCTATCTTATTGTGAATCTGTGAGATTAAACTTCAGGATTATTCTCCCATTCACTGAATTAAATTACTGGCTATACTTAGTTTTAGAGCTAGGCAATTAATTCAATTAATTACAAGCATAAATTAATATCAAGTAAACTTACCAATTAAATCAATTTATGTCACAAAAATAATCAAATAATCAAAATTAGTTTCTATTTATTAGTTTTTATTAGTCTAATTATTCAATTAATAAAAATATTGCCACTATGATTTCTTATTATTTATTTGATTAATTAAAGTTTATTCAGTTTCAGGCCAACATGGCAAGGTGATTAGGGTGTCTGCTTCATTATCAGAGAATTGTGGGTTTGAATCTTGTTATCACCAAACATGCTTGACTTTTCAGCCAGGAGGAGTTATGTTTGTTTATGAGTTATGGCAAAGCCACTATAGACTATCTAAAGGCCAGAAGCACTTAATGCTAACTCTATGAGATTTTTTACCAATGAATTGTGGGTTTGAACTTAACATTAAGATACCCCTGTTACTGAAAGTGTGAACATGTTTAATGACACTTGGTATTCTATCCATGCTTCTCAATTCACAAGACAACCAATGGACCATGCAGAGCTGGAGTTATTATCATGTGACAGTCAATCCTATTTGTCAGTAAAGAGAAGCCCAAGAGTTGGTGCTGCTGGCTTTTCTGTTCAAATATAGGGATGGCACCAGATAGCCTCATTAGCTTTGCCGTAACTCAAACAAACTTGTTCAGCTTCAGATACATACCAATCAAAATCACACACAACATGATAGCTAGTACTGCCTCCATTGGCACAACTGATTAGGAAGGTATTCAGGAGTTATGCTTGTAACTTAAGATGAGGGCGTGAACTAGTGACCATTGGTTACATAACTAGCCAAAATGCAGCTTTATGTTTATGCTTACCTTGTTTGGACTAAATAATAGTGTAGTTTCATTTATAACAGTTTAAGATTAAAAAATAACTTTAATACTAAATTGTTGTACCTGAAGATGTCTATCATATTAAATGAAGGATTGTTCACAAAATGTCTTAAAAAAAACAACAATAACTGAAAACAGGAATACTAGTCACACATGAGAATAATCAATCAATATGCTTTACAAACAATCACTTTAAATGTTAAACTCTAGTATTTAACAAAATCTAAAATGAAATCATTTTTAAGCTTTATGAAATCTGAGAACAGTTTCTTTTTTAAATAAATAAATAAAAAAAAATAAAGAATTTACTTCATACCTGAATAACTATTACCTCTCAAATTATGAAAAAGTAAGCCAGAGTTGATTCAGAAAATACTGCAAGAATCATTGCTCTGGGTCAACTATTAAATGATTTATGGAAAAAAACTTAAGTTAATTTTAAATTGAGAGTAGGCTATTCTAGTAAAATTTAAAATTTTAGCCGTTTATTAAGATGTCAGATACTGGGATGCATATTTCTCACTGCACCGTGTTACGCTTATAAAACATATAAAAACTTCACTTTCAAAAGTTTTAATAAATCACATTATGCAAAAACTTGAGACAATTCAGATAGAAGCAGATACAAATTTCATAATTTCCAAAGTTAAAGTTAATTCACCTGTTATACTATTAATTTATTTATAAAACTATGGGGGAAAATGTTAACTGCTTATGTAAAACCTAAATGCTAAAATTTGCAACATACATTTTTTAGAGTTATATCAATAGTAGGTGTACTGGATCTATGGCCAATAAGACCACCATCCATCCCAGGTAAGAGGTCTGGTAACACCGGGACTGCACCAGGTAGAGACTTCTTCCTTTTAGACACAGGAATTAGGTCTGGAGGTAATGCTGAGGGAACTGGTATATTTTCAAGAGCTTTGTAAACCAAATGCATTGCCTGTAAAAAAGTTTAGTTTTAGCAAAACAATTTAAATAAGGATAAAGATGTATGCTGAAAGGTTTTCTTTCCCTAAGAAAGTTGCTGTTTCAACTTAGCGTTAATTACAGCAGTTTCTGGGCATGGAATCTTTATATATTTGTAACTTTTCTAAGAAATGAAAACTAATAATACATACAATTAACTGAATGTGTACAGGGTTAATCCATCAGATCAACCCTGTATTGGAGAAGTAATGTCGACTATAATTCCTTATCTAGAAAGTATACTTTCATGAAATGTTGCGAATTTTTAGACAACAGTACAAGTCTGTTGTACACAAAAAAAATCAGATCTGTTAATAAAAAATTGTGTACTAATGATATGTCTGTATAATGCTATAGTCAGTCAGACTCACACTCAGAGAAGTTAGATATTCATGTGAAACGGTTAACAGCTGAAATTGTGAATATCTTTTATTACAAATGTGCAACAAATTACGCATTCAAAAAAGAAGATGATGAAAAATATGTCCATTTAACATTTCATTATATAATTCTTTCTTTTCATTTTAATCCTATCATCATGGGTATCCTTTATTGCACATGACACAAAATTTTAGTGTCTTTTATTCAAAATTTTATTAAACCACTTTTTTGTTTGTTATACCAATTGGAATAGCATAAAATCTTAGCTAATAATCCATATTTTAATGGTATATACGTTTTAAGTTCTTAATTCTACAAGGCAATATTAAAAAAAATCCTGAATTTCCCCTAATGTGACCCACATTTTCTCTTTGCATGTCATCTTTCCTATTTTATCTACCACTCCTCAAAAAAGTATGAAATTAAATGTTAATTACTATCTATAAAATCATCATTGCTCAGACAAACCATAATTTTTTAGTCTTCTATTTTCTTTGGTTACAGAGCTATCAAAAAGAAAATCAGACCCCTCCTGCCATGCCCTCTCTTTCAGGATTTGTTAATAGTTCTCTCTCACATTTAATTATACATTTCCTATAACCAATAGAAAGCCACGGTTTTCATCTATCAAATGACATATTATATAGCATTGTGTTCTGAACAGATAAGTGTCAATTTCACTCAGAGTACCAACATCACTCCTGTGAGAAAGTTAACTAGCATGGATGAATTTGTAATGACTCTTGTTGCATAGTTAGAAAGCTAGAAAGAATTTGAGAGGTAAGGGAATTTGTCTACTTTCTGCATGTTATTAGTCTATATTCTTTGGTGCATTATTATCATTAGTATAAAAAAATTAGGGTTAACTCTCTTCAACAATCGACAGCAAGAATAAAGAAGATTGTTAAGTATTATATTTCTTGTTTTTCATGTTTATTCTTTATGTATAAT